TTTAACAGATGGTTTCCTCACTCCCTACTTGCCTAAAATGTACATCAACAGATTTATATGTGAAACTCATATCACCTAAATGTCAGTATCATTGAGTTTAGTTACTTTCAGGAGTTAAGGTATAGCCAAATGCAGCTGAAGAAATAACTGAGTGTTGTAAGGAGCACCGGGCTGCTTCCCACCACCCAGCTAGCTTTACCCAAAATAATTACACAGAAACTGTATTCTTTTAAACACTGCTTGGCCCATTAGTTTTAGCCTCTTACTGGCTAACTCTCACATCTTGCTTTAACCCATTTTTAATAATGTGTGTAGCACCACGAGGTGGCTTACCAGGGAAGAGCTTAACCTGTGTCTTTGTCATGTGGGAGAATCATGGCGACTGCCTGACTTGGCTTTTTTTCTCCCAGAATTCGGTTCTGTCTACTACACCCACCTAAGGGCTGGCCTTTCAAAGGCCAAGCAGTTTCTTTCTTAATTAACCAGTAAAAACAACAGATAAGACAGATGACCCTCCTCCATCAACAGAGCTAAAAGAAACTATAATGGAATGTTGGCAACTTAAATTGAAAAAAGAATTGAAAAAGAATAAAAGAAGGAAATTAAAATAGTTTATCTCTGTGTAGCCCCACACTTGCCATGAACTCACTGTTCCTTGCCCCATCACTCTTAGTTGTGGGATTATGGGGACATTAAAGATATGTGTCACCACACTTATCAAAGAAGAGTGTGTTTATTTATTTTTTAGCTGCCAAGTATCAGTAGTTAACTGACAATAAGAAAGTGGGGATCTCTGAGTTAGGATATGTCCTATAAACATATCTGTACCTTATTTTGTTGGTTCATTTCATTTATTTAATTATTCATTTTAAATCTTGTGTGATGTTCTCTCTCCCCCCACCGCTGAATTTCTTTGTTAGTGTGGATGAGTACAGTGTGAGTGTGCACATGTATACCCATGGTTATGGAGGTCAAAGGTAGGTTTTCAGCCTTCCTCAATCATTGTTCATCTAATTCGAGAGTCTCTTGCTCAACCTGAAGCTCATTGATTTTGCAAGTGTGGCTAACCAATAAGCATGAAGAATCTACTTGCCTCTGTCAACCCCACCACCACAGTGGTGCAGGTGTGCACCTCCACTCTTGAGTTTTTTGAGTAGGTGTTGATATCTGAGCTCTGGCCTTAATGGTTTTGCACTAGACATTTTACTGACAGCCAGATCTCCAGCCTCTGTTTATTTTTCAAAAGAGTATTTTATTGTAGTTTAGGATGACAGTCAACTGTATAGACTAGGATAGCCTTGAACTCACAGAAGTCATTCTGCCTCAGCTTCTCAACTGATGATCATGTAGGTACCTTGATTTATCTGCTGTCTGTACCTTGTCTCTTTGGGTGGCAAAAATAAACTGAAGGTTTCCAAATGAAAGGGGCTTAAATCATTACATGTCCCCTTTCATCATGTTTGGTCACATCTTGTCATCCATCTTCCTGTTGTTTTTTTTTTTTTTTTGAGTGTGTGCAGTGACAATCCTTGACTCCATCCCTGACCTCACAGCTCCCTTCACCACATCCTAAAACAGCACCCATGCATGCCTCTGAAAAAACACTCCCATTCATCTTCAAGACTGTGTCTACTAGAAGTTGTGTTGATAATTACCATACCCTAATTATCCAGACAGTTTAGAATTTTTATAATTTATCCAGTTTCTATATAGAGAATGTGTTCTTTGTTGTAACAACAATGCTGAGAAACGTGGGTCAATGACATGTCCCTGGCCATGGGGATGTTTCAAGTCAGCTTAAAAAGAGAAGTTCAGAGTTCTTTTGTAATCCCAGCCAAAAGAATGAATTCTCTCTTATTGCGCAGGTGGGGCATGGATAGTTTTAGTTGCTTCTGGCCATTATCTTAAGCTGTAAAAGCAAGCAAGAAACAGGGAAAAAGTGTAGATTAAGGAGTGCTCAAGCAACTTCCCACCCAGAGAAATAGCATTTGAGCACTGAAAAAACAAAGTACAAAGAAAACCTTACTGTTTGGTTTACCAAATAGATAGTTGATCCCAAAGTTTTCTTTTTGAATTTTTAAGGTCCCTTTGTGTAGTGACTGTCCCATGTATAAGTGACTGTCCCATGCATTTGAAGTTCTGTGTGAAAGAATCAGGCAGACACCATAACAGGCTTCTCAGTCTTCTCTCAGAAATAAGGCCTCCATTTCTGTTTCCTGAATCTGATCAAGCAGTTTCTGAGGAAGAGCCACGAACAAAAGACAATCCATTGCCCAACACCGCAAACAGAAAAAAGGAGACATGGTTCATGCAGTACTAGGTCAGGCTGGGCCTGAGCCAGCCTCCATAGTCAGTAATCTCAAGGTGATAACCAAATAAGATCAAAGCCTGAGACTTATCCAAGACTGTCCAAAAATAGAAAACTGTAGCCCTGACCAGCTCCTAACTAGCCCTAGCCAATTAGAATGTACTAGTATGATTGATGCTTATTTGATCCACTCATATCTGAGATGAGTTAATTACCATAGGCCCCCCCCCTTGGCTATGCTCAAAAGGAGCCTAGGAACATGTGTCCAGGTCTTTGACATCTTGCCTTTGTGTAGGATAGTCAGCCAAGCATACTGGAATAATAAACGTTCTTGTTGATTGCATATGTGGATAGTGATCTTTTGTGGAACTTCTCCAGGACACTAAAACAATGCTTGGACTTTTTAACTAATGTATTATCCTGTAGGTTCACTAATGTGCTAACAGATGACAGAATTTTCTTGTACCTAAAGTATTCTATCATAAACATAACATATAAGAAAAATCAAGACCAGGAGAGATGCTGTTGCAGAAGACTCAAGTTCTGTTCCCAGCACCCATGTTGCCTGGCTCACATGCCTTTCATTTCCGCTCCAGGATCTCCAACTCCCTTTTCTGGAATCCACTGGCGCATGACTCAAACATGCATCCCCCCCCCACACACACAAAATTAAAATAACATGAATCTTTTTAGAGGAAAGTCTGTTCATGTACCTCTTTTCAATTATGAGCAATGCTGAAAGAAACAAATAAGCCAAATAAATTCCATTTCATATTGATGCTGTTTCCTTTTGGTGTTTATCAGGGAATTGCTGAATCACATGACACTTCTATTTCTAGCTTTTTGAACAAGCCCCATATTTTACATAATGGCTGTAAAATTTCCTTCCTTTTAAACATGTACAAACATTCCCTTTTCTCTGCACCTGCCCCAACATTTATCTTTTATCTGCTGCTAATAGTCATAATAACAGGTGCAAGGAGAGGACACATGATGATTTTAATTTGCATATGCCTGATATTTAAGAATGTTAAACCCGTCTTTCAAACACTCCTGTAGCAGTTCCTAACTCCTTTTGAGTGGTGTTATTCAGTTGCTTTTAAATTAGGTTAATTCTTCATACATGATTAAATTGTTTGAGCTCCTTCTATGTTTTATATATGAGCCATTGGTTTCACATACAATTTCTAAGTATTTTCTCCTGTTCTGTAGATTCCCTTTTCATCCAAAAATATTGGTCAAACTAATATATTATCAACATTTCATAATTTTTTCATGATTTTGATAGTGTGATCAAGTAATTTATCTATTTTATATTAATTTTCATTTAACTTACTTTAATTTAATAATTTTTTAAAGGAAGTTAAATGAAAATTAATATAAAATAGAGGGAAATGGGAGGCAGTGGTGGGGAAGAGACAGAAATCTTTAATAAATAAAGAATCATTTTTTATTTGTTCTGTGTACATATATGTGATGAGGAAGGTACATGTGTGCTACATGCGTTTGGAAGTCAGAGTTCTCTTTCTATATCATTTGGGTCCTGAATTGAACTCCCATGCTAGGCTTGACAGCAGGCACGTTTACCCACTGAGCCATCTCTCTGGTCTTTGAGATAAATTTTAGCTTCTCATACTTTTTCATGTGGCTATCAAATGAGTATTGATACGTGATACGTATATGTATACATAATTTTTGTTCAATTAGTTCTTGATAAATTTTCACCTGCCATTTAGTAAAAATCCTTGTTTTGTACTTTCACAATTTTCAATTGCTTGCTAATAGGCAGCCTAACCACTGTAATAAACAAGAAATCTAATTCTATAGGGATTGGTTTGAATCACAGCTTTGTGGGAGTTAGATGTGTGGGCATCAATGATTTAGAATGGTTCCTGTAGTCAGGAGGGATAGCCTAGCAGCAGGGCCATGAGAGATTATCAAATGCTGAGGTCTGCTTTAATGGGACTTACTCAGGGTTAGGTATAAAATGAGAAAAGGCTATTGACAGAGGAAAGATTGTTCAGGCACTCAGTATTCCTAAAGTTTGTATCTGTGAATACTGGTCTGGTAGCTAGGTACACAGGTGTGTCTTAGAGTCTCAAACTGCAGAGTCTAGCCTAAAGGCGTAGTAGGTGACTGTAGAGATTGAGACTATGAGACTTGATAAAGTCTGAATTAAATGAAAGAGATTTAGCTAACAATAAGAATATCCTAATATCTTGAAGAGCTCCTTGATGACCATAAAGTTTGGCGTAGAGCCAAAGCATGTGGGGGCATCCTGGAACATGAGAGAAAGAAGGGAACATGTGATAAGGAGTGGTCCTGAGGGTGAGGGTTAGGGTTAGAATACCAGCTATAGAAATCACACTACTGGATTTAACTAAGTTACCCTACAGTTACTGGCCTGGATAGATAGGGAAAGTAATTTTTCCTCCTTCTGCCCAGTAGTGAGTGTGTGAGATGGCAGTATCCTCATCTTTCTACAAGACAATAATCAAGTTGAATCCACATTCATCACAGCACACCAGTTGGAAAGAGCTGAACTGCACTGAACATGCATCTTCCTTCCCCACCTACTCTCTGACCTCCACAGAGTCTTACCATGAAAGTAAAATGCAAAAGTACAACCAAAGTTTTTTTTAATTATATATCTGCAAGATTTCAAACTATGAACTGTACAGAAAAACCTGAAATAAGGGCAAGGAGGTGAATGAAAAAGCTAGAAAAGCAGAATAACAACTCTGATGCAGAATGAAGAGAGCACCGGCTTGCTGGGTGAATCGTTGTATTTGATCCATCGTCATGATGAGCTTCATCATAAATTCAGGAAGCTGCCTTCTTACTGCTTGAACTTGCAAACAAAAGGTAATTCCCCATCACAGTGATGGTCTCCCCACTTCAGAAACCCTAGAGAGAGGAAACACGTTGGCTCTTGTGTCTACCATGGTGGGGGAAACACAGAAGCAGTACTAGTCTCAGAAGTCTTTATTTCAGCTTCACCCATTCCTCAGTGCAGTGGCAATAAACATTAACATTTGAGGAACATAAATCCATACTGAATTCCCTAGTTTAGGAGGATAGCCAGAAGGCCAGACTCAGTTGGAGAGGAGAGGCTTGGATAAGATTATGTAAAGGTGGTGTTTCTGTTTAATTTCTGTTACCCGAGGCTGCTGTCAGACTCCCACAGTGACCACGGTTTACAACAGAAGGATTTCCATCCCAGTTAAAGTAGCTCAGCACATCAAAGTTACTCCACTCCCATCCACCTCCATGGGGTTCTTTACCCTGCACAGTAGAAGTGTGAAGATAAAGTACATTAGCTTTTCATGTATTTGGCCCATTCCACCGTGCTGTCCAGGTACTTTTTTCACTTGGAGGTTGTGATTTAACTTCTATCTTCCACAGGCGTCTCTTTGCCAATAATCACAAGAACTGTTGAACTAGATTAACAAGGTGCCTGGCCCACAATGATTAGAATATATTTCAGAAGCACCTCTGAATCTCACAGTATCTTCCCTATAAACAACAAAAGTGAGAGGTAGGGAGATTACTCAGCAGTTAAGAGCCGTGCCTGCTCTTACAAAGGACCCAAGATTGGCTTCCATCACCCATATGGTAGCTTACAAACATCTAGAACTCCAATTTTAAGGGATCTGAAGCCATTTTCCGACCTCCAGAAGCAACAGGCATGCAGATGGCACACACACATATACTCAGGGAAAACATACAAATAAAATAAATAATCTTAACTTTTAAAGTATAATTATAAATCATCTCAATTCACAATGCTTTCAGACTCTTTGTGAAGACTGCTTGAAAACCAAAGAACTTACCATTTGACTTTCTTAAAGGAAAATGCAAAAGTTAACGACAGGCAGAGAAATTAAGCTGAAGGCTGGAACCCTCCATAGCCCTTCACTCTGGAATTCCAAAAATTCCTTTACTAATGTCACCCAACATCTGAGGGCTAGGTCCTCCATATACATGGACCAGAGACTAAGAACTGGGCTTGGGAGCCATTACCTTTTGCCGATTAAACAGTGGAAAAGATAGAATCTCACCATTGTGGGATCATGGAGTCCAATCCAGATTTCTTTGCAGTTATTCACTCTGCCATTCACCAGGGAGGACACAAAGGAAGCCTCGGCTCCACTAAGAATGGACACAAGGTGTCCAGAGGGTCTCTTCTGGCAGGTCAGCTATATGAGGGGCAGAATGAGAGAGACTGAGACTTCATTGATAAGTGGTGTGGTATATGAGGTATATATGATGGGTAGAAAGATTACATAAAGGAAAGAACAGTCATTCTGATCCTTATGGGATCATGGAAACTTGAGGCCTCTTCTGCCATCAAGTTATACTTTATGCTGTTATCTTCAACCTTTCCGCACTCACATTTGCTTGATACCAAGATTTGGGTGTCATAACCAGGGCATAGCAGTGGGAGTGATAGGACTTGGAGCCCATGGGGCAGCTAATACGTGGAGAGGGCAATTCCTTCTGGGAGTCTTCACCTAGGAGTTAGAGAGATAAAGAGAGGGTAGAATGGGATGGAGAATGGGAGTTGGATGGCACAATCAACTTAAGAGAATGTTTATTAATCCTATTTTTTTTTTTGGAGTCGTGGCTGTAGTCATGTCAGTGATAGCCTCTGTAAATGCTTTCTGCTGTCTTATTTTTTGTGTGTTTATTTTTGAGACAAGGTCTCAGTGTTTCCCAGGCAGTCTCGGAAATCACAATGTAGATCAAGTTGGCCTCAAATTTGCAGAAATCTTCCTGCCTTTACCTCCTGAATGCTGAGATAAAAGACTTGTGCCCTTACACTCAGCTAGGTTCCTTGCTTTTATACCATTGTTCAATGTAGAAAGAGCTTCTCTCTTCATTTTATCTTTCCTACACATTCCCCAGTATGTGACATCCAGTTCTCTGTACTGTCTATTTACAAGCTTCATTATGGACCCTCATACATCATTTTCCAACACACTAACATAATTTAGAGCTTCCTGACACAATGGAAACCCTCGGACTTCCCTATTGATGGACCATTGTGCTATTTCTCACCATCAGTGACCTAGAAGAAGGCAAGATGATAGATGAGTTGCAGGGAATTTTACTGTGTGAATACTCCTTATGAATCCCACAGGAAACTCATTATATCCTTCCTTTGCTTTTTGGTTCAAAACACTCCCAGCATATTCAATTCTAGAGGCAAAGAAACCTTACCTTGCACCTGAGATAAAAACATCAGGCAGGAGAACATCCAGGATACACCAGTGAGAGCTAGGTGATGCAGCATCTTGTTTGTGAGGTAGCAGCAATCAGGATTCTAAAGAGAGTGTGAACAAAGAAAACATGCAAAGAGGGTCAGTCCTCCCTTTCCGCTTGTCTAGATCTACAAGGATGCACTGGACCCCATTCCTATTTTTCTATCGCCTGTAATGAAATGAGGAAACCATATTTCCCTCTTCCTCTGAAAACTCCTCAGGAAGCCGTTGCTGATTCTCAGAATCCTATGCTCTGAGAGGCTTGCTATTCTACCATATCTTCTCCTGAGTTATGAGAGGTGAACCCTGCAAGGCTCTCATCATCTTTCAGCTCCCACTTACCTGTCTTGTAGAGATCTGGGACAGTTTGTCAGGGAAGAGATGACCCTGCTTTTATAACAGGATTTTGAGGGGGGCAGCAAAATGAGTGAGTGAGTGATTATGTGGGTCAGGGTATTGGGTAGTGCTTGGCAAGCATTCAGAAGTTCCCAGCAAAAGCACAGGTCTCTTACTGGCAAATACCAGGAACAAATACACAATGGGCCATTTCTCGTTAGCAAACCTGCTCTGTTATCAGGTGCAGGTGATGTTTGAAATTCCGCCTTGTATCCTATACCAGATACTGTCTTCTCCAAAACTTTAGTGAAGCTAACTATAGCCTCATAATCACATGCTACAGAGATTTCTGTAATTTTGCAATACATACATACATATTTACATACATACACGAAGTATACAACCAAGAAGAAATCATTCACTACATATAGTGACTTACTTTTTCTGTTCTATCATATCAGCTTAAAGTTTTTATTTTCCAATATGGCTATAGCTATTTCTATCCACTTCTGCATTCTATTTTCTTAGAATATCTTTCCCACACCTTCCCTTCCACTCTGTGTTTCTCAACCTGTATGAGGTTTATGAGGCATACCTGTATGCAGGTAATATGTTACAGAATCTTGCATTTTAATATAGTTAGTAATCAAAAATATTTCACTTACATTCTCTTTTACTCTTTATCATTTACATCCAGGGTTATTACTGAAAAGTATGTGATTATTCCTGTCACTTGGTTGATAGTTCTTGCTGCTTTCAGTATTCTGTGCCCATTGATTCCAATTCTAACCACTTGATCATTCACTATATTGAAATTGGTTGGTTTCCTCACATTTCTCATTGGTTTGCCTATTAATATACTTTCCCATGTTGTCACAAATGTGCTTGTTTTTCTTCCTCTTCTGCGAGTATTATTCTCATACTTCTATCCATCAATGATAGTTTAGTAGACCTAAATTTCTTTAGTGTTTTTTTTCTCGTTATATTTTTTTTCTTTTAAACATGAAGCATGACCCTGATATATATTTATTTATTTATTTTGAGTGATGATTATTTTCTTTCAGGACCTAATACCATTCCCTGCTCTTATGAGCCCTGTAATTTCTGCTGAGAAGTCAGTTTTGTACATGACTAAGCCCTTGTTTCTTGTAGATTTTCACTTTTGTTATTGTTGGTTACCTCCGACTAGATTAGTTTTAGAGGTGCTTGGTCAATCATTACTGTAAGTAACAAACTTTTATCAAATGTAATAAATAATTGAATATTTCATCAGAAAAATAAAAGACTAAACTAGAAGTTTTTAGTCTGTAACATTTTCTTCAAAGTGAAGAATCAGTGTAGACTTTCTTCAACAAGGTCTGGAAAAACTCAGCCCCAGCAGAAATAGTAAAGGATCTTTAGGATGCAAGAAAATGATAGAGGTCTCACAACCCACATCTAGTTAAAGAGAAGGCATGGAAAAGGAACCAAATACTGTGGGGTTTGTATTTTAATAAAACCTAAGGATAATATTTACTGAAAAGAAGATCAGTGAATTAAAAGGGACACTATCACATATGGTAGAATATAGAATGAACTCTCTCAGAATTGTTTTTCTGATTTCTTTAAATTAGAACTAAACTAAGAACAAAATATTCTTAGTTTTTTAGAGTGTCTCTATGTAGCCCAACTGTCCTGGAGTTCTTCTTACCTAAGGCACCTAAGGGCTAGGATGACATACATGGCTCCCCATGCCTTTTTAAAGGTTATATGTGAGTGGTGTGGTTCTGAGTCATTATATTTATCATTATTTTTGTTTAATGAGAAACAGAAGACTCTTATCTCAAAGGGTTGCTTACTTTTTATACTTTGATGATTATACCCACAAGTTGTAACAATCTATTTTATTTCATGCATTTATGAAATAAGTACTCTTTGTTGATCAGGGTTCTTAAACTGTCTGATTTCAAGACTCTTGTAGCCTTGAGGAAATGTTTGGGTCTTTACTCAGTGATACTAAGCTAAGTCCAGTATGCCCACGATCCTGGTAAAAGACCCCATACCACAGATAGGGCAAAACTCTAAAACCTTAAGGCTAGGAATGTAAATCAGTCATCCAGTATTTTCTGGCATGTACAAGGCTCTGATTTACTTGTCAATATCTCAAAGCAAAAGAGAGATTCAAAAACTCTTGCTGCCTGTGAAGTAGATAGATTAGATAGATAGATAAATAGGTAGAAAGGTGGATAAATGATAGACAGATAGATAGATACATAAATAGAAAAATAGATAGAGAGCCAGCCAGATAGATCAGAACAAAAGGCCTAACATATAATATAATTGAGAATCAGGATTCTTGGGACCTCAGTTCCAGGACCCCTATAGTCACCAAAATCCAAAGATATTTAAGTACATTACATAAAATTGCATAGTATGTTCACATAACTTTTTTGCATTCCTGTGCATGTTTTAAACAATCTAGGTTACTTATAAAACCTAAAAATGTAAGTACTACATAAATAGTGGTTATGCTATAATATTTAAAGATAATTGTAACATGAATTATAATTGTTTCTAATAATAAAATCCCTGAGTCAGATATTAGAATGTGAAAACGGAAAAAAAAATCAGAGAAACAGGGAAGTCAGCCACTAAATCTTACCTCTATGAAATTCTCAGGTTGAATGGATTATCCTTTCCCTACGAATCTTCAGATTGAATGGGTAATCCTTTCTCTAGGAATCCTCAAACTGAATACTTTGAGCTTCTTTCTCCCCCTGCCTTAAATTCCTTTGTCTGCCCAGCCATTTCCTATCTCTTCCTAGTCTTAGGATTAAAGGCCTGTGACTTCCAAGTACTGGGATTGAAAGTGTGAGCCCACCACCTGGCTGTGTTTCATTTTGAACCTATGTTCATCTAGTGCAGCCCAGAGCGGCCTTGAACTCACAAAGATCCATCAGCCTCTGCCTCCTGAGTGGTGGGATTAAAGGTGTGTGCCACCACTGCCTATCATCTATGGATAAATAGTGGCTCACTCAACACTCTGATACTCAGACACCTTTTTGCTATAGCACAAACAAAATATCGCCACAGATAACGACAAGCAATATTCTGTATGCTTAGAAAAGATGAAAATTTAAAAGTATTTTACCCACCATCGACTGAATTTGTATGTGTAGAACTTCTGGAATTAAAGAAATTACTGTTCTTTATAGATAGATGAAAAGCAATAGACTGTAAAATGGCAAGTTTAAAATATTTGCTAATTATTCCTTTGAATCATCTGAATAAATTTCCCATATATGAATCACTGACCTTTCTTTGTTGATTTAAATAAATGCATGAAAACCATGACTTTCAAAGCAACTGCACAGCAGTTTGTCTTAGACAACACTACTATGGAGTTTCAACATCAAGCTCCTAACACCGTCACACAGACTGAGGAAGTATGTCTTTAAAGGCAGATCTTTGCCACAGTTAGTTAGTCCATGGGCTCATCAAGCTTGAAGGCATTTAGAAGAGATAATGTCCTGATAGAACATCCCCATTCTCTCAGTGTATGGGTGCACCCCTCACGGTCCTGAGTTCCTTGCTTGTGCTCTCTCTCCTTCTGTTCCTGATTTGGACCTTGAAATTTCAGTCCGGTGCTCCATTGTGGGTCTCTGTCTCTGTCTCCTTTCATCGCCTGATGAAGTTTAATATTCAGGAGGATGCCTATATGATTTTCTTTGGGTTCTCCTTCTTATTTAGCTTCTCTAAGAACCCGAATTATAGGTTCAATGTCCTTTATTTATGGCTAGAAACCAAATATGAGTGAGAACATCCCATGTTCCTCTTTTTGGGTCTGGCTTACCTCACTCAGGATGGTGTTTTCTATTTCCATCCATTTGCCTGCAAACTTCAAGAAGTCCTTGTTTTTTACTGCTGAGTAGTACTCTAATATATATATATATATATATATATATATATATATATATATATATATATATATTCCATACTTTCTTCATCCATTCTTCAATTGATGAGCATGTAGGTTGTTTCCAGGTTCTGGCTATTACAAACAATGCTGCTATAAACATAGTAGAGCATATACTTTTGTTGTGTGATAAGGCCTCTCTTGGGTATATTCCCAAGAGTGGTATTGCTGGGTCCATGGGTAGGTTGATCCCAAATTTCCTGAGAAACTTCCACACTGCTTTCCAGAGTGGTTACATAAGTTTGCATTCCCACCAGCAATGGATGAGTGTACCCCTTTCTTCACAACCTCTCCAGCAAAGGCTATCATTGGTGTTTTGCAAATGTGTAGCTATAGTTGGCACAGAGTAATGATTTGGACTTACTTAACATTAAAGAATTACATTTTAGCCATCCTTTCTTTGCCTCTATGAATAAAAATATCAGCACGTTGGAAACAGCTAATAACATTTAGCATATATAATATAGAGAGTAGGATGCTGGAGAGATAGCTGAGGAGTTAGTAGCACATATAGTTCATAACTATCTGTAACCAGATAGTATAATGCCCTCTTCTGGTAGTCTTGGGCACCTGCATCCCCACAATTATACTCACACAAAGATACACACACTCACATGGACAGATGCGTGCACATAGTTAAAAAGATAAATGTTTCAAATAAAAGAAAACTGGAATCGTATTGAAAGAGTCTTTAAAACCCTGTGAGTATAGGATCAATGTTAGTATACTATTCTGAGGTATAATCCTGAGGTGAAAATCCAAACCCTCCAGCAAACTCTCTCTCAGTATTCACACATAGCTAGGAATCAAATCTATTCACCTGTGGAAAACAAATCCTGGCTACAATGTAGACTCAGTGGTTGCATTAAACTTTAGGTCCTGCTGGAAAGTTGAAGCAGCCATTTGAACCAGAAATTTTACTTTTTCTAAAATATTTGTTCTCCATCACTCAACAAATCAAGTTGGCTTATTTGGCTTTGTTTTGTTTTTCAAGACTGGTTTCTCTGTAGCTTTGGGGCCTGGCCTGGAACAAGCTCTTTTAGACCAGTCTGGCCCTGAATTCAC